TAGTTTGATGGTTTCTTTAATTTTTCAACATTTGCGAATAAAACTCAAAACTCTTTTTTCTCAATCAATCCCAATCTCATCTAAATTCCATTCCAAATACTAAAAGAAAAATTTTCAGTTCGGTTAAAAAATTACTCCTTGGTCAAAATCAGTCGATAATTTCGACACAACGACCCGGCGATATCGACCAAAACATCAATCCATAATTATTTATCTTTTGGTCGACTTCTTGTTTCGACCGGAAGTAGGTTAAACAGGCAAGAATTGGATTATTTTAACCGCAGGTCCATTCTTAAAAAATTTTCCGATAAAAGTTACGTATTTTTGTCAGCAGAAATCGAGTCTGTGGAAAAATATATATATATATGTACGGCACTCTGTATACCTCTAAAAGAACATCCTTTGTATAAGTATATACAAAAAAAAAAAAACAAGTAGAACATATGCACGTCATTGATCTTACAAGCAATGATGAGCAAGTCGAAAAAAAGCATCTGCACACACAAATTTACTGTGCACATTTAACCATTTAATTTATGTATAATAGCGGCTTGTCACGTCAAAAGCCAACTCAACTTCACCAACTACAAATTTAACAACTACAAACTGAACAACTTATTTTGAATACAGTCGCCTTTTTAACTACATTCGCGCACATTATTACATTACTCGCACTTTCGACATTTGCTAGTATTTACGAAGCGAAAATTGTATAAATATTTATATATGCATAAAACAGGCGAATTTACTAAATAGTCAGCGTACTAAAATACGAAAATGTGTAGTTAATGACACTCACGCTAAATTGATGTGATTGCGTGTTAGCGTTGAACCTTGACCCCATCCCCTGTAGCATTTTACAAAATGTTGTCTAATTGTGATGGCAACACAACAGTGAAATTTCAATGAAATTTGTCCTTTGAAATTTAAGTGCAAAATGTAAACGAAAATACATATATAAATTGTTTTAATGTAAATGAAGCGAAAATAATGATAAAATTGTGGAATTATTGATTTTAGCCGGCTTACACTCACGCTCCTACTAAGTAATTAAAAATTACACAATTATTTTATTTATTTTATGCAACCGTTGACAATTTTGCATGCGTGAAATTCGGTAATTTAAGTATGCAAACAACTTACGTTTCTTAGGTAGCCTTTATACTACATAATGGGACGTTCCATGTTAACAGGCGCAAAAATTGGTGCAATACAAAAAAAAAACTTCAAGAACTGAAAATTTTTTTAAACTCTTGCACTTTTAAAAGCAATGTAGCAATTTTGGAAATTAAATATGGCGGCTTCAGTAAAAGTGATGCAATTCATCAAACTCACGAACCGGCCAATAATACCTATCATTAATAAAATTATCAAAATCTAATAAATGAAATGAAAATATATATTCTTAAGCATTGTTGTGGTCGCTGAATACAAATTTGGCGTCGGATTTTAAAAATTCAAAATGGCGGATCCATGATGAAGGACGATTCATTTAAATTCAACATTTTTGCTCGAAACTTGTTACTCTGGCGATTGAAATCTTGTGTTAAATTTTCAAAATGTCTTGTCCTAGATGGAAACGATTTTTTGAAATAAATTTGAATAAATTTGAAATAAAATTTTAATCCAAACATTTTAATTTACCAATAATAAAATATGTAATATGTAATAAAATTAAACAAAATACAAATGTAAATGTAAATAATAAAATAAAATTATTGGTAATCGCTCGCATAGAGAATCTCGAACGTCAACCTCGCTTAGTTTGTTTGCTAACTTGTGCAATAGACCACAGCTGATCATTTTGGCTCGTGTTGTTATTGGAAAAATTTTAAAAGGCAATGTTAATTAACAAAAATATTCCTGCCGATGCATTTTCTCAAAATACTATAAAAAAATGTTGGAAACCAATTTCAAGATTGTTTACATTTCGAATCCATTAAGTTAAAAAAAAATATCTGACATTAAAAATTAGGCGGCAACCCTTTTTAGAAATGTGCCAATTTGGAGAGTACATATTTTGATCTGAATTTATTTATTCGTTAAAATTAGAAAGATACAAATTGGTATTAAAAAATATGGCAACCCTCAAAGAAAATATTTCGGGATAAACATTACTCTAAAATACCTTTCTCCTAATATCCATATTAAGTTATTTTGGGTAAACTTTGTGGAATCGAAAATAAGTGGCAACCTTACACTAATATCTTAAGGGATAACACTTACTGCATACGAAAAGCATTGTTTAAGAGCTTTCGTTTAGTATCCATGAAGAGTTACATTGTATCATATTTTTATAAGCACAAAATTAAATAAGTATAGATGGAAAATAGATGGCAAACCTATTCAAGAATATTTCTGAATTGGGGATTTACAAAATGCTTTCCATTCGATACCCACATTGTGACGTTTTATTTAGTTTGCAACTAATTTCGAATAGGTGGCAACCTTATAACCTTAAAATGCAAAATATTATCCGAATACAAAATTTCATCAAAATCGTTAGAGCCTTTTCCGAGACATATATATACAAGAATTGCTCGTTTAAAGTAATAAGAATTGGAAATGGAAATAGATTAGACAAGGATTAGCGACAAGAGCCACTTAACAGTAGTAACAGTTTTTGTTTTTTGAATTTTGAATATGTATTTCAACTTTGTACAAAGACTTTTTAAAAATATTTGGAAAATTTTACAAAGTTTCATCAAAACTTCAAAGTTTTCAGTCAGAATTTTTGGAAAAAAAGTATAGGTATGCAGTGTTTTAGCCCATTAAAGTCTAGTACAATAAAGTGCAAGTTTGATTTTTGACAATTTTTTTCTTTGCTGACGGTGTCCCGCATTTTCATCCATAAAAGTTATGTTTGACAAATTTTTTACATGAAGAAAAATGCACAACAAAGTCGGCAAATAAAAATTACAACAATCAACGGCAAGTCCTAGCTACTTCAAATTCGCAATTTATTTTACTAAAATTTATTAGATTAAAAACTGCATACCCAGAAATTTGTTTGAATCGCCGTAGGAAGAGAAAATTCTCCAAGTAGCCGGACCCGTCCATAGGCCAGCCAGTTTCCAGACACTCGATTTTACGGAATAGTATTTTGCGGTGCTTATCTGCCCAAAATAATATTATATATGAAACAAAAAACTAATAAATACATCCAAAAGCACTCTTAAGTAGTTTTACTATTACCTGCCGAGGAGCGAACGCTTTAAAAACAACTGGAGAAAATACTTGTGTCCTACCGCATGTTGTTATAGCTTGCCTCTACATATCTACTCGGCTACGGCCATTTTTCGTTTAGTATATTTTGATATTCTCATTTAAGTATTTTGTTTTACTTTGACATACCCATTTAATCGGTCAATCGCACACTCAATTGCAAACAGATATCCAATAAACACGTCAATAAATGTCAAAGTCGCATTAGAACACATCAATAAGCATAGAGGCAAGAAAACATTCAAGTTTCAAGGCAAGATTCATACTTACAGGTGCAAATACATAGATGCACAGAGAGAGGTGCATAAAAAGCAACTACAAATACAAACAACTACAAAACAAAATAAAACAAATACATACAGACTCACTAATAGCGCTATGCACCTGTGTGCACCTAAATAATAGACTCAACAGAACCCAACCATGCACCTGATACGATCGACACTGACCAACATTAAAGCAATGGACTTATTGTATACCCAGTACGGCATAGCGCAATCAATTACCTCACGAAAATTTACTTTTTTCTACTTATGTAGCAACTAACTTCAAATTGTATAATCAACCAGCAGCCTCATTGAGATGAACCAAATGCTTACACTTTGGATACATATCTTTGCAAATAATTCAGTATTAGTTGAAAAATCATCTAACTTTGGGCAATTAACTATTCCAGCATTTATTACTAGGCAATTTTAAATTGGTAGACATCTGCAAAAGAAACATATTGGCTTTGAAGTGCTTTAAGCCAAATGCATTTTAAAGTAGTTGAATCAAATGCAGAGTCAGACAATCGACTTGCTGATTGCATACATTTCAGACAGAACATTTCAAAGCACATTTACATGTCTGCTAGTAGCTGAGAGTGCAGAGATGCATGCTGTTACTCGTTAGCTTCCAGAAAGTCCGGGTTCGAATCCCAACAGAAACAACCTGTGAAAATGATAATATACAGTTTTGTTTGGAAATATGAAAAAGCATCTGTGAAGTGCAGAACGAAGGCGTCCTCAAACGAAATATACTGACTTTGAAGTGCTTTAAGCCAAATGCATTTTAAAGTAATTGAAATCAAATGCAGAGTCGGATAATTGATTACTGTCAAGGACATCGCCATGTTAAAGTCAACAGGTCGTTCCAAGAAAGAAAGTCAGATCTTCAACTAGTTGTATTGGGTTTATTTCCATACTGGATATGTATGTATGTGTACATACATAGCGTAGACATGTGGCCAACCACAAATACACTCATACGTAAATATGTTTGTGTTCACGTGCACGACGAATACGCGGTGATAGAAATGTTCTGACAATATTGTAAACTAACCGAACCCCATATCGTTGGAAAAGCATGTAGTGGGATGGTTGCGAAATGCTGGGTACTAGGTAAGCTTAATGGCTGTTAGACCACAGGATATGTGTTCGATTGCAGCATGCGGACACCGCATTTCGACTGCATTTTCACCATGAAAAAATATACATATATATAAGTAGGCACTCGACCTAAAAGTCTTTAGGTCGCATTCGCCTATACTACACTACTACAAAATGTGATTCAAATATACTATACAAGCAAACAATTTCATCAGCGGTTGAGGGTAGTAACAGTAAAGCCGTAGGTGTGCAAAAAGAAAACAACACTGGCTAATGGCCATTTGGACGGGTGTGTTTGCACTGGGAAGGCCAACAAAACATGTGAAAAACACATACATATGTCCATGAGCAAATCTTACAAGCTGTTTTTTTTTTTAGTGACACCTCCTTTTATCGTCAGAAAAAAACCCTAAAACATTCTTCTTGCATATCTTTCAATCAATTAAGTTCCAAAAACAAGTACAATACAAAAAATAAATCAAGAATTTGAACAGCTGCTAAATCGCACGACAAGTAGTCGTCTGGTCCGAAACCTCGTTTGGAGCCAAGCGGCTAGGAAATAGGGATGATGAGGAATCGTCGATTTATTTGTAAAAAGAATTATTTTTAAAGCAAGATTTCTAAATATGAACGAAATCGGACCATAAATACTGCTTTACCAAATATATCGACTCGTGCGCCACCTATCGGCAAAATGTTTAGTGGAGTTATTTCTTTTAATTTAGTTAATATACGTTCTAAATTTAAACTAAATCGGACTATAAAAACGGGTTTTTCAAATATCTCGACTCCAGCGCCACCTATTGGCTTTACTCATATTTCGTACTGCATTGTCCTCAGCTTCTGAACCAAATGTGGAGTTTCAAGTCTACGGGTTATTGGAAAGTTGGTCAAAAATTTATTGCAAGATTTGCCCCTAACAGACACACATCCATACACACAGAGCAAGTTAAATAAAGCTTGTAATAAAGAGTTTCGGGATTTTCGAGACTACATCGAGATTTAGAGACTCCTTCCGTATTTTCGGGGCAACTTCGGCATTTTTGGGACTATTTCATGATTTTCGGTAATTTAGGGTATATTTCGGGATTTTCGCGACTACTTCGGGTTTTTATGACTCTCGGGACTGCAGAGACTTCTGCACGACTTTTAGAACTATTTCGGGACTACTTCGGGGTTTCTGGAATTTTTAAGGTTCCCGAGACTAAGTCGAGATTTTTGAAGCCGCTGCCAGATTTATTAAATTCTGGAGACTTTTTTGGGGTTTCGATAGTAATTATATAAAATATATATATATATAGATAAATATCATTAAATATATATAGATAAATATCATTAAATGTATTGACAAGTATATCGATAGAAATAACGATACATAAATCGATAAAAATATTGATAAATATGTCGATAAAAATAGCGACAACAGTAACAACAAAAATGACGATAAATATATCGATAAATACAATGAAAACACGGAATAGGTCTGAAAATCACGAAATAGTCCCAGGAATACCGAAGTGGTCTCTAAAATCCCGAAATAGTCCCGAGAATTAATAAATAGTTTCGAGAATCCCGAATTAATCCACAGAATTACGAAATAGTCATCAAAATCCTGATCTGGTCCCGAGATCTCAAAAATTCCGAAATAGATCACAAAGTGAGTTGTGCTGAATTTAGGAGAGGTGTGGTGAGAACGAGTAAGATGAGTTCAGTTGTGTTGAGTTAAGTTTTGGTGAATTGAGGTGTGGTGTATTTAGGTGAGGTGTGGTGAGTGTGTGTTGTGAGTTGATTTGTGGTGTATTAAGGAAAGTTGAGAAGAAATAAGGTATTCATTTTTTTAGATTTCTCCTAAGTCCTAAGGTGTTTAGTTCTAAACTATTTATTTTAGTGAAATTAGCTAAATATTTTCATTTTTTCTACTTTAATGTCTGGCTACTCCTAAATACCCAAGTCTTTTTAATTTAACAGCTTTAAAAAAAAGCATTTAGGTGTGCCCATTATCGCGTAGAACATTGTTCTGTGGTCTTTATACGACTAATTTGACTATTTTTTGTTTTTTTTTACAAATTTTTTAAGTAATACATATGCGTAAATATTTCGCAAAGTTCAAATTTTTCATAGTAGGCGATTTAAATTTTACATAAATTTATTGACGAAAATCAATAAAGCAATCAAACTCAACTCGAACGGCAGGAAAAGCACAAATAAATTGAAAGCTAAGGAAGCCAAAAAATGCGAAAGTAATTCCATGAAGAGATTAAATTTAATGACATACATAAACAAAATAAACCTCTTGCTTGACTTTCCATTTTTCCTTGATTTCAATTTTTCTTTGCTTTCGCAGTTTAACCACTCCACGTGCAGACAATTTTTTTATTGATTTTGATAGCACCGTCGCACGTTGCTTGCACACAAAAATAAACACATTTAGGTGTATAACAACGAGTGGATGTGTATGTACATTAGGGTGGTCCAAAAATGCATGTGATAAAGTAAAGTCGGAATTCTTTACTAGAATTTTTCTATACCTAGGATTTTTCTATGCCGAAAAAAGTATACCCTTATTTATTTTATTTTGAAATCAAAAAATATTTAGTGGTCGCTCAAAACGCCCAAAGTTTTCCATGTATTTTATGTGGGGAAAAAACAACTTTTCGTAAAAGTGGTATAGAATAGTTAAAAATCAATATTTTACCGCCAGAAAACTCTGTTTATCTGCAGGAGATTCCCAATAATAATACCCAATTGTTTATTTAACCATTTGTTCATCGCAACTATAATTTATAGGTAGGCCAAAAATCCAGAAAAAGGCAATGGGGCGACCAATAAAAAATCGTTGGTATCAAAAAAATGGTTAAATAAACAATTAGGTATTATTATTGAAAGTCTCCTGAAGAGAAACAGAGTTTTCCGATCGAAAAATATTGATTTCCAGGAATTCTATACCTTTTCTGCGAAAAATTTCATTTTTCCCATATAAACAAGTATGGAAAATTTTGAGCGCTTTGAGCGAGCTCGAAATAATTTTTTTATTTCAAAAAAAAAAAAAAATAGGGGTATACTTTTTTTCGATATAGAACAATTCTAGGGGATGAGAGCATTACAATTCCGCCTTTCCTTTTTTTTGGACCACCCTAATATACATATACATATGTAAGTATATATTAACATGTTGACATAAATCCGGGACTTGTGAATGAAACAAATCTTACGCAAAAAAGTGGTAAGGAGCGATTGAAAGGAGCAAAGTAAAGTAACAAAAATATTTCGAAAATCATCAATTCTTTTATCGGCGCGTTTGACTTTAGTAGCCTGGCACGCTTCGTAATACAATATGTACTACATACTTAAACCAAAAAACAAAAGGAAATAAAAAATGAAAACAAAGTATAACGGCATTTATATTCAAGAACATGTTGCAGACTTTCTTGCTGCGAGTTAAAAGATCACGTGTCGCGCCACTCACCTAACTACCGGAGTACCCGCCTTGCGCGATTAAACTGCTTTGTGTTGTGGTGTAGGTTTTGTAGTTATACTAGTGTGTACATATTTTTTATTTTTTTTTTGCTAGGTGGCAGATGGTTATGCACGACCGGATACCACTTATTTAGATAGATATTCGCTTTGGGAGGTGCGCGCGAACGTCCTCTGCATACCCGCGCTTTAGCAGATTTCCTGTCTGCTACGACAAAAACAAAGGAACGCCGAAAATAGAGAAAGATATAAGGAAATGAAAACCCATTGAATTTCCCTTGAATGCTGCTAATAAATCAGTGTACTAAGAAATAGGCGGCGATACACATAAATGCGTATGAAGACAAGCGTGTATTACATACATACAAACATAGGCAAACAATTCGATTTATTAGAATTGACATAGATTGTAGTCTTCAAGTGCCTACCAGTCTGATGCGCGCGGATACAGACTTCCGAAATCAATTACTGATTCTAATATTTTAATAGAAAAAAAAATTGCAACAATTTTTTTTTTTTTTGATAACAGTTTTGTTTCTGATAACCAAGTGGCATTCAGGGTGCTGGGATCGAAACTGGGCGGGGAATGCCTGACCTCTCCCTCCCACTCACCTCGGATTACTTCCAAATCAAGCTGATTTGGGTTCCGGAGACACAATGGAACATGACTGGAAAATGCAGAGCTGAGGAATTGGCTGGGCAGCGCACCCTCGAAGCCAGCATTTCGGACAGGGAGAGCATAGGACTTCCTGCTCTCTGTACAGATGGGCTCACAATCGGTTCTGCGAGCGCAGGGCGAAAACCCTGAAATGCCAAGTTGGAAGGTCCTCTGGCCGGTTATTAGCCGCGGGCGGTCAAGGAAGCTTCTGCAGCTGGCTAAGCGCCGATTCTTATAGGTGTACTGACCGGCCATTGCCGTTTAGGAATCCACGCAGTGCGACTCAATATCAACTGATTAGAAGACGAGGTGGAATCATCTCAGCACTTCTTTCTAAGCTGTCAGGCATTCGTTAAACTAAGATGTAAACACTTCGGTATGCATTTCATCAACATTCGCGAAAAGCTCTCTAGTCTAGTTCAGGGCTTTTTCAGTTCCATTTCGTGACCAGTTCTGGATCATTTAGGGACCGTTTTGAGAGTCGGTCAGGACTATTTCAGGTACATTTTGGGACTAGTTCAGAATCGTTTGGGTACCGTCTGGGGACATTCACCTGACCATTTCGAGACTGGTTGACGTATATTTTAAAACCATTTTGGAACTAACTCTGCACCATTTCGAGACAAGTGCGGGGCTATTTTAGAAGCATTTCGGGGATAGTTAAGGACCATTTCGAAACTACTTCAGGACTATTTCGGAAACATTTTGAGTTAGTTCTGGATAACTAAGAGACTTGTTCAGGTCTATGTTAGGACCATTTTTGTGGCTAGTTTGGCATCACTTTGGAACCATTTCAAGCCTTGTTTGAGATCATTTCCACACAAGTTCGGGATATTTCCGGGACAGTTTTAGGACTAGTTCTGAACCATTTTAGACTTGTTCAGGACTATTTCATGACCATTTCGAGACTTGTTCAGTACAATTTCGGCAGATTCACGACTATTTCAGACACGTTTCCGGATCTAGCTCAATAATATCAAGTCATATCAGAAAAGTATTTTTTTTTGATAAATCTGGGAATGCTGAGCCCTTACGAAGCCCTGATTTGGAAGAAATTGGATCGGTTATTTTTTATTTATAGTTAGGTTTAATGTTAATATAATATTTTCTTATCGTTATGCGTATACACATCGATAAAGTTATCGTTATCAATACATTTTCCGACAAAGTTATATAAATTTTTTATTTATATACATTTGTATTAGTGTTGGGAAGCATCGAGTCCTTTTGAGAATCGAGTTCTTTGGTATCGATACTTTTAAGGATCGGATATTTTTCAGAGTACTGAGTACTTTCTTTGGAGTACTCTGTATTGATACTTTTAAAAATCGGGTGCTTGTCGATCCTTTTGAGAATCGAGTTCTGAGTACTTTTGGTGTCGGTACTGCCCAACACTAATTTGTATATATATACAATATATAAATATTATTTTTATATTTATTAAGTTTACATTACCGACATATATGCAGATTGCGTTCGACATAGTTATCGAAATTTTTATTGAAATACATTTCATCGCTAATATGAACAAAACCATTGCTTTGTAATGGAGAATATAAATGGGACGTCGGAAAAAAATATTTGAGTGGTACGCAAGGTGCCATTGAAATCATATTAAGAATTTTTACATTGTTAGAAAATAGTTGGTTGTGGCTTCAAGCCCTCCAAACATTTATTTAACCGTTAAAAACATTATGACATAAGACACCTTGTGAGTCATCTAGCTGTTTTACAACACAAAGAAATTTTATCAGATACCTTCGTTATCGATACCCTCACCGATATAGTTATCGATATCCGAGTATTTATCGATAGTGTTTTATGCATATAAATCAATATACATTTATACATTTTTTTTTTTGTTATATATAATTGATTTAAATATCGCATTGTTTATCGATATTATTTTAGCTGTTAAAAAAATAACCTTCATCTTTAAAATTACGTCAAGAATAGCTCTTTTCCAATTTGTTTTCTTTTTTTAAACCTGAAAACAGTATACATATAATGAACTTTTTAAAGCGTTGTGAACATTTACTTTTGCTGTACTTGTCTCACGGAATCCATTTTCATGGTCGCTAGAAGCGAAAAACGCATTTAAATTATTTTTTTACAAAGGTCATTACTAACTGTTTTTAGGTAAAAAAGACAGAACAGTCAGTAATTTTATTTTTCAAGGTCATTTTGAACTTCGAATTGAACAGAAAACTGCCTTCACCTAGAAAACGGCTTTCCAAACTAAAACATTTTAATTTATTCCATTTTTGACCTAAAATAGAATATAATGAAGTAAAAAATATGGAAATGGAAAAAGTGGAAATAGTTTCCTAGTTACACCTTTTTGAAAAGTATGCAATGAACGGTTTTCAGATCAAAAAAAGAAAAGTGAAACTCCTAAATTTTTGAAGATACATAATTTTAAAGGTCAAAGTAATTTTCTTACTTCAACCTAGGCCTGAATTCACCAACTCCA